CCACCCCTGAATGGGTCATGACAATGTGTAATCCAAATTTAATCAGGGCTTCAATGCGGACTTTGAAAACCAATTGAAAAAAATAAATAAATTGTAATTTCTTAAATTTATGAAAATTGATGGGGTTTTGTATCAAACTTCCTATATGTGTTGTGTCCCAAAAATATCATTGACCAGATCGACTTTGACCTTTAAATGATAAATATGGATAAAGAAGCTAATAATTTTCTTAGACGCTATCGGATGGAAAATAATTATAATTTTACATTATATATACACGATTATACATTATTTATTGAGTAGCAATACATGTTCATACGATACACATATAACCATTATAAAATAACTTTTGTTACTTGTACATATTTATAAGTAACCAAATTATTTAGCAAGTCACTAAATTTAGTGTGTTATCATTAAAATCATTTAAAGATATGTCACTCTACATGATTTGTATCAAAGCTACTTGTTTGATTAAATGACTTATCAATGGTCATCTTATTCTATTGTTAAAAAGAGCACTTTTAGAAACAAAAAAAAAAGTTGTTTCATTAATCATTCGTACACAATATTCTTACATAGTCTTTGGAATGATCGTAGTACATAAATTAATTACTACTAAGCTTAAGATAATAGAGGTGGAATACTTTGTTCATTTCTAAAGATATTTGTTGGATCAATTTTAGTCTTGATTTTGACCAATCTATCAAAGTTGTTCTTGAAATATTTTACTCCCCAAATTCTTGCTTGTGCATAGCTTGTGTTTCCACTAATATTGTTCACTCCTAAATCAAGATCTCTATAGTTGAAATAAGCTGCTCTAGGAGATTTTGATACATACTTAGCCATGTATCGATAAAGTTTTCGACTCCAAGCTATGTTTCTTTTAGAATTTTCCATTTTCAACCAAAATACTGCATACTCGATCATGAATATATTTCCAGCTCTGTGAGGGAAAGGAGTTTCAGATTCTGATATCTCACTAAGCTTTCCTCCATAGGGACTAAATTGTAATTCAACACCCGAATTTTCGCCTAATTGGTTGTATAGTTTCCATATACCTTCAAGACCCTTTATAGAAATGGGGTGTTGGACATAGTCTGATTTACCTTTGAAAAAGTACTCTTGATTAGTTGTGGTATTCCAATCTAGTAACACATCAAGTGATGTTCCCCTAGGGAAACCCGCAAAGAAGAGTATAGATTCGATCCAACTCATCTCAATGCAATCGTCTTTCACTAACCCTAGTTCTGGGAAGCTATTTTGCATTTCGCGGAGGAGTTCATCTACTCCTCCAACAAACATTGTAGTGAAAAAGGCGTGGACAGTCCTTTGTCCACGCCTGAATGGAGATTCAATATTGCTCCTCAGGAAGATCCTGAGGAGGAGATTGTCATCAACTTTGTCCGCGATATGTTGCCATTTGTAGACTAGTTGAGTTGCATTTTGTTCCAACGTTCGTGTCACATTGAATACAGTTACCTTTTGTGGAATATCAACTAATTTCACCTTCCATGAGATAATGAGACCAAAACTAGTCCCTCCACCTCCTCTAATAGCCCAAAAGTGATCCTCACCCATTGACTCTCGATCTTGAATTCGTCCATTAGCATCAATTAATTTTGCATCAATGATGTTATCAGCAGCAGTACCGAATTTTCGTGACATCATGCCATAGCCTCCACCACTAAAGTGTCCACCAACACCAACAGTTGGGCAAACCCCAGCAACTACAGCCAATTTTTTACTTTTTTCCGCGATTCTATAGTAAACTTCCCCTAGAGTCGCGCCAGCTTGAATCCAAGCAGTCTTTTTTTGGGTATCAACGGATATTGATCTTAGGTTTCTAAGATCAATTATGAAAAAAGGGGTGTCCGAAGTGTATGAAAGTCCCTCATAGTCATGTCCACCGCTTCGAATCCTAATTTGTAGGTCATGTATCTTGGAGCAATGTATAGCTGCCTGGATTTGAGATTCTTTGGTAGGAGTGAAAATAATTGATGGTTTGAAGTCGGAGGTTATCCTTACGTTATCTGAATAGGAGTTATAAATGGTTGAATATGATGAGTTTTTAGGAGTGTGGATTACTTGTGATATTAAGGTTGAGTTCATAATTTTGTGAGAAAGGCATTCAAGAAAGTCATCATGAGTTTTGTTAGCCCATGATGATGAAATTAGGCAAATTGAGAGAAAGAAAAAGATTGTTAACTTGTTGAAACTAGTCATCATTTGATTATTTGTTGTTGCAAAGTTTGATAATGGAGAAAATAGAAACTAACAACTTCTACTTATAGTTTTAGCTAGGTGGGAATTAAAGAAGTTCAATTAGTTTGAAATCCAAGCACCAAAGGATTAGTCAATTGTGATGTTTATTCATTATAGAAGATTTGTTTTAATTTTTTATCTTAGGGTCATAAGATGCGTCTAATTAATTATATTATCATTATAAAACTAATTAGAGAAAAAAAAAATTCTCCTATTTTGAATTTTACATATCTTCTAGATTTGATTATAATAGCCTAATACTTTAATATAATTGTATAGTCGAATAGATAAGATTATCTATTATAATGGATATAATCAGCAATGTATTATGACTCTCTAAATTAAAATAAATTTGTGTACAAACTTAACATTTCGTTTGCATTATTGAAACATAAAGATTAAACAAATATTCTGGTCATTAACGTACACGTTTGTACGACTTGATTTTTAAATATAATGTCAAACTATACCTTAATAAGACATTGTATTTTTTTCTAAATTTATGAAAATTGAAGGGGTTTTGTGATAAACTTTTTTACCCAAAAATATCATTTACCAAATCCACCTTGACCTTTAGATGATAAATATGGATAAAGATGTTAATACGAAGATATCATATGATAAATTTCTACATATATAATATATTGTACATATATCTACACGGGCATAAAATGAGAAGGTATAATAATATTGATAGACTTGTAATTGTGGTCCTGCATAATTTATAATATATTGAACTTAAGTTGTCTTCGCATCGTGACGAGTAAATATCTCAAAAAGTTATTCATATGTAATATTATAAAACAAAGTTATTGAATTTAGTTTTGTATGGATAAAATCACATGCTATGATTTTATTAACTTTTTGTTTGACTAGCATTCCACGGCATTTGTCACATGTAGGGATATATATATGATTGGACAGGTTTGAGTTTTTCAAAAATTAAAATAAACCATTCATGTAAAAACTTTAAATTTATAAATCAAAACAAATTAATAAAATTAGGATTTTTTCAAGGTTGTCAACCTCGGATTGGTTCAGATTTTTCAAATATCAAACCAAATCATTGTGTCGTATTTTAAGTTTATAATTCAAACCAAACTAATAAACTTTGAATTTTTCCAGATTTTTGAATTTTTCGGTAAAGTTTGCAAACAAACATAGGGATAATGCCCAAGTACCCCCTCAACCTATGCCCGAAATCTCAGAGACACACTTATACTATACTAAGGTCCTATTACCCCCCTGAACTTATTTTATTAATAATTTTTTTACCCTTTTTTAGCCTACGTGGCACTATCTTGTGGGCCCAACGATGGTTGACTTTTTTTTTTCAAACTAGTGCCACGTAAGCTAAAAAGGGGTAGAAAATTACTTATAAAATAAGTTCAGGGGGTAATAGGACATTAGTATAGTATAAGTGTGTTTCTGAGATTTCGGGCATAGATTGAGGGAGTACTTGTGCATTTTCCCAACAAACATATAATGAACTTGTGCTGCAAATATTTATTTAGTCAAAATTAAAATACAATTATCTAAGGTGTTTCTTAAAAACACACAAAAATATGAGATGAGTATTGATGACACAAAAATATTCAATAAAAAATAATAATGAAATCATCATATAAACTAGATATTATAAAGTCATAGTGAAAATAATTATAGTTTAAAAGTACTAAATCATGCTAAAATAAGTTTACTAAGTATTAGTTACATTACTAAATATTTAAGAAAAAGTAAAATTAGATTATGTATTATAATTGTCTAAACCAATGTAAAACTAAAGAATAAACATTTAATATTATTGTCATTCTTAGCGTTGAGTTGATTTTCTTTTTGCATTAGTATTACTTTGATTTTAATTTAAGTTTTATTATAATTATCAATATCTATGAACTATAATCTTTATTGGACCATTCCGAATTCTAAGTTTTAAACTTGAAATAATATATTAAAAGATAAAAACTATGAATAGTATAAGAAATTAAATATTTTTATGTATAAAATAAAATTTTAAAATTACATATATAATGTTGGGTTGGTTTGGTCTCGGTTGTTTTTCTTTTAGTTAAAATCAACCCAACTCAAATATAATCAAAAACATTTTCCACTTCAAACCAAACCACTAGTCGAATTTTTTGCGGTTTGATTCGATTTTTTGTTCGGTTTGAACACCCCTAGTCACATGAGCCAAATTGGACCTTTGGGATGAAATTAAATTGGGCTTACCAACTAGGCTAATCTAGTGTATTCCAAATCAATTAATTCAGGTTTTAATTAAATCCATATTTATTAAATTTAAATAATTAACTGAATTATATTAATTTATAATATTTATTTGGATGAATATATTCATGAATTTAATCATAAAGTTTATCAATGATTCGAGATCGTTAGTACCGTATTTCTCAAACCGAGATGATTTGAATTTTATCTTTAAGAAAAATTCATGAATTTGACAGAATATTCTAGATAACTCTTCGAAAGAATATAGTCTCCAAGAATTCTATCAAGAATCAAATATATTTTATAGAATCCTAACTTAAATCTAACACGTCTTTCAAAGTCCCACCGAATTTTAATATTTTTTCCCTTTAAATTAAAGTTGCATTATTATAAAAGTTAAAAATCCAATACTAAATCGGACTTGCACTTATTAACCCTAACCCATTATATATACCAATGAAAAAACCCTAATCTTCTTATTGTTGTAATTAAATTTCAATTTTGTAACAATGGACAAAATTAATGAGTATTGGAAGTCAACAGACAAGAATATGATGGATTACGTAATTGACAATAAGCCTTTTCCTCATAAGCATACTATTATGAAAGTTGATGATATTTATGGAATCAGAATGTTTACTCCATCGCAAATTTTTCAATCAACAGAAGAGCCAAAAAATAAGAACGTGCGTTATTTGATCACTAATCAGAAGAATGAACGAGCTAGATCGTCTGCTTATAAAGATTCACGTGGGGTTTGGAAATTTAGTGGCAAAATCGATTCGATTTTCGATCCTAACAAGAGACTTCTGGGGTACGTTAAAATTTCACGGTGGTTCTATTATTACGGTGAAAAGAATAAGAGAATCATAAAGAGTGAGTGGCATATGAGAGAGTATTATGTTACGCCTACAATTAATTCTCGATGCAACGTTGACAAAAAGGGTGTTATATTTGTCATGATGTTTAAGAATCAGAAACGAAATGATAATGATAATAATATTGATCAAGATGATGAGACGCCAGGTCAACTTGATGATCATCAAGACTTTGTTGCTAATCAGATTACTCAATCTTTACAAGGCATTCACCTTTAAGAGTATTGAAATTATCGATTATTGGTTATGTAATTTGTCTTATTTAAAACTATACATATTACATAATTTCTCAGAATAAATTATTTGTTTGCAACAAAAGGTATATTGTCATTATTGTTGTTTCACTAAGAGGAAAAGAGATTGTTTCAAGCATATGAATGGCCACATATGTTTGAAGGGTGGCATGAACCACCTTACATTAATCAACATTCATGTTATTTACATTAAAAAAACAATTCTAACCTTATATATACAGTATCGCCCTGATTGAACTAACAAAAAAGTAGCCCTGATTGAACTAACAAAAAAGTAAGTATATAAAGAGGATAGAAGGTATCAATAGTATCCCAAAAGGTATCAATCTTTAGATCGTAGGTTCGAGTTATCAAGAAAATGAAAAGTTGAACTTCTACATTAAAACTACTTTAATATCAACAATTATATTTCTACATACAAGAAATTACAATAGAAAATCAATCTTTTTTCTCATTATGACTCTAAATGAATTGGTAAAATTACATTTCTTGATTCCCTTCCATGTCCAAATTAAAAATATGATCCTTTTACTCTACTACTACTACTCATATATAGACATGTTTCTATGCACATGTTGAATATAAATAAAATATTAAAATGTATTAGAAGTATTATGTGTGAAGTTCAAATATTTTGGTACAATTTAAATTAATTTTACATTGTAAAAAATGTATTATATTCGTTGGAATAACAATAATCAAATTTATAACCATGTATAATATTGAATTCAAACTGTATTGCAACTATAATTTATATAAGGGAAAATGTACAGGTATTCTCTAAACTATGACCGAAATTCCAGAGTCACCTAAACTTAACTAGAGTCCTATTACCCCTAAACTAATTTAAAATTAAATAAATACACTACAAACGCTGACATGTCCTAGAGAGTGTGCAGACTTTCTTGAAGGCAAGTGATGGGTGCACAAATTGGACACATGTCATTTTCTAATTGGTCACTTTGTAATTAGTTAGTAAACATATTTATTGATAATAAAACTTAGGCTTAATTCATCTGTGGTTCCTTAAAGTTGTTCACATAATTTACTTAGACCCTCAACTAAACTTTATACATATTGAACACTTTTACCATTCTGAATTTGAACCATTTGAACATTTTTTTGAGAATAAACTAAAAGTAGAGGATGTGTGAAATACACTCGCGCTGACACGTCAATTCGACTAATTAAATTTTGACATGTATTATTTTTAATCCAAAAAATTATTTAACCATTATATTATAAAGTAAAAAGAATAAAGAAAATTATTTTAAAGTATAAAAAATGTAAAAAAAAAACTTAAACTTAAACTACCCCACTTCCTCAGCCTTCCACTAAAGCCCAAAAGTCCAAAACATACATTTCCATCTACAATAGCACCCCATTAATGTTGATCCTCCCTCTCCTTGTACAGTGCCATCTTCAACTCGATAAATCTTCTTTCCATCAGCCTTCTTTTTTATATCTTAAATTATAACTTTTTTCTTCATTTTTTAGGTAGAGAAAGATGGGGAAAAAATTCTTGCTGAAAATTTTTCAATTTTCATTGTCGAAAAAAATGGAGTTATTTTGATTCTTTTTGTGTTTCATAATCGATTAACTTTTTTGGATGAAGAAACATCCTTACATTAGGCCAATTTACATCAATTTAAAGTCAAAACAACACATTCAGAACAAACAAAAAAAAATTTATAAAAATTTGAGCAAAGTAAGTAATAAATAGAAAAATCCTCCAATAAATTCAAACAACTGGACATTATTTTAACACCAAAGTACTAAATTAACAACAAAGCGACAAACTCCAAACTTAAAGCCCTTTACAAATTAATCATGATGAAAATGATAGTGATAATGGTGAAATGATGGTTTCAATGGTGGGACAACCAATCCTAATATGTATGACAATCGGGCAAAAAAAATAACAATAAAAATTGAGGTAAAAGAAGTTAAGAATTCAAAGAAAATATGAGGAAGAAAAAGGGGTGTAGCGGTGGCGCTAACGGCAAACTGGTGGTGTGATGGAGGAAGGAATGCCAAAGAAGACGAAGAAGAAATAATAGAGATTTTCCAAAAAAAGGCCCAATTTAATACCTTTCACGCGCCTAAAGGGTCTGGATTACAAACAATGTGTCACATAGGTGAAATTTGAAATGGTAGAAGTGTTCAATAGGTACAAACTTTAGTTGAGGTATTTAAGTGGCGGACAACTGTAAGAGGCCTCACATAACCTAAGCCTAAAACTTATATGTATTTAATTATTTTTGTTTCTTTCTTTGTAGAATATTTATTTTAATTTCTTCTCACTCAACTTTCCTCCATAAGGACTAAACTGTAATTCAGCACCCGGTGTTTTCGCCTAAGTAGTTTCCATATACCTTCAATATCCTTTATAGAAATTGGGTGTTGGACATAGTCTGATTTCCCTTTAAAGAATCCTACATTATAAGTTGAGCTATTCCAATGTAGTAACACATCAAGTGATGTGCCCCTAGGGAGACTGTTAAAGAAGAGTATAGATTCGATCCAACTCATCTCAATGCAATCTTTCTTCACTAACCCTAGCTCCTGGAACTTATCTTGCATTTCATGAAGGAGTTCATCGACTCCTCCAATGAACATTGTAAAGAAGAAGGCGTGGACAACCTTTCTCCCATGGCTGAGTTGCGATTTAGTTCAACAAGAAGAGCCTGAGGAGGAGATTGTCATCAACTTTGTCCGCGATATGTTGCCATTTGTAGACTAGTTGAGTTGCATTTTGTTCCAACGTTCGTGTCACATTGAATACAGTTACCTTTTGTGAAATATCAACTAATTTCACCTTCCATGAGATAATGAGACCAAAACTAGTCCCTCCACCTCCTCTAATAGCCCAAAAGTGATCCTCACCCATTGACTCTCGATCATGGATTTGTCCATTAGCATCAATTAATTTTGCATCAATGATGTTACCAGCAGTAGTACCGAATTTTCGCGACATCATGCTATAGCCTCCACCACTTAAGTGTCCACCAACACCCACAGTTGGGCAAACCCCAGCAACGAAGGCTAATTTTTTACTTTTTTCCGCGATTCTATAGTAAACTTCCCCTAGGGTCGCGCCAGCTTGAATCCAAGCAGTCTTTTTTTGGGTATCAATGGATATTGATCTTAGGTTTCAAAGATCAATTACAAAAAAGGGGTTCTCAGAAATGTATGAAAGTCCCTCATAGTCATGTCCACCACTTCAAATTCTAATTTGGAGGTCATGTAGCTTGGAGCAATATATAGCTACCTGGATTTGCGATGCATTGGTAGGAGTTAAAATAATAGATGGTTTGAAGTTCGAGGTTATCCTTGAGTTATATGAAAAAGAGTTATAAAGGGTGGAATATGATGAGTTTTTAGGAGTGTGGATGACTTGTGATATTAAAGTTGAGTTCATAATTTTGTGAGAAAGACATTCAAGAAAAGAATCATGAGTTCTCTTAGCCCATGATGATGAAATTAGGCAAATTGAGAGAAAGAGAAAGATTGTTAAGTAATTGTTCATAATTGATTGTTTTATTTGTTGAAAATTTTGATGATGGAGAAAATGGAAATTAACAACTTGTATTTATAGGGAGAAATAAAAAAAACTTAGTTTATATTAATTAATTAACTCTAAAAGATTTTCTTTATTTTTTTGTCAAAGTCAAATTATGTTATCAATGATAATAAATAAAAAAATAACGTTAGAAAGTGTAATTAATCAAACAAAATCTATTATTTAAGTAAAATTTTCAAAATGAAATAGCATTAATTGTTTCTTTTTTGTAGAAAAAATAGTAATATTGCCAAGAAATTCAAGACTACAAGATTTAAAAATCTTCATTTCTTTTTTAAATTCTGTGCCTAGTTAAAATATTTCACGGAATTGAGGAGTATTAATTATGACCCCTAAAATAAAAATAAGAATAAAAACAAATAATTCACGTTAGCCATGAGGAAACCCCTGCATATTCCATGTGAATTAAAACTATAAATACAAGCTGTTAGTTTCAATTTAGTCCAACAATTATGACTAAGTTAACAATCTTTGTTTTTCTCTCAATTTTGTTTTCATCATCATCATATTCATGGCCCAATAGAACTCATATTGATGACTTTCTTCAATGCCTTACTCACAAAATGAAAAACTCAAACTCAATATCACAAGTCATACACACTCCTAAAAATTCATCATATTCCGACCTTTTTAACTCCTTTTTTTCAGATAATCAAAGGATAAACTCCAACTTTAAACCATCAATCATTTTCACTCCTACCAAAGAATCTCAAATCAAGGCAGCTATACATTGCTCTAAGATGCATGACCTACAAATTAGAATTCGAAGCGGTGGACATGACCATGAGGGACTTTCATACACTTCGGACACCCCTTTTTTCATAATTGATCTTAGAAACCTTAGATCAATATCCATTGATACGCGAAAAAAGACTGCTTGGGTTCAAGCTGGCGCGACCATAGGGGAACTTTACTATAGAATCGCGGAAAGAAGTAAAAAATTAGCCTTTCCTGCTGGGGTTTGCCCTAATGTTGGTGTTGGTGGACACTTTAGTGGTGGAGGCTATGGTATGTTGGCAAGGAAATTTGGTATTGCTGCTGATAACGTCATTGATGCAAAATTAATTGATGCTAATGGACGTATCCAGGATCGAGAATCAATGGGTGAGGATCACTTTTGGGCTATTAGAGGAGGTGGAGGGACTAGTTTTGGTCTCATTATCTCATATAAAATAAAATTAGTTGATATTCCAGAAAAAGTAACTGTATTCAATGTGACACGAATGTTGGAACAAAATGCAACTCATCTAGTCTACAAATGGCAACATATCGCGGACAAAGTTGATGACAGTCTCCTCCTCAGGCTCTTCCTGAGGAGCAATATTTCCTCTCCATTCAAGCGCGGACAAAGGAGTATCCACGCCATATTCTTTACCCTGTTTGTTGGAGGAGTAGATGAACTCCTCCGCGAAATGCAAAACATCTTCCCTGAACTAGAATTAAGGAAAGAAGATTGCGTTGAGATGAGTTGGATTGAATCAATTATCTTCTTCTATATCGGTTACCCTAAGGGCACATCACCTGATGTGTTACTAAATTGGAATACGACAACTAAAAAACGTTTGTATTTCAAATTGAAATCAGACTATGTGCAACACCCAATTTCTATAAAGGGTATTGAAGGTATATGGAAACTATATAACAAATTGGGCGAAAATGCAGGCGCTGAATTACAGTTTAGTCCTTATGGAGGAAAGTTGAGTGAGATAGCAGAATCTGAAACTCCTTTTCCTCATAGAGCTGGAAATAAATTCATAATCGAGTATGCGGCTTTTTGGGTGAAGATGGAAAATTCTAAGAAAAGCATAGAATGGAGTCGAAAAACTTATCGATACATGGGTAAGTATGTATCGAAATCTCCTAGAGCAGCTTATTTCAACTATAGAGATGTTGATTTAGGAGTGAACAATATAAATGGAAACACAAGCTATGAACAAGCAAGAATTTGGGGAGTGAAATATTTCAAGAACAATTTTGATAGATTGGTGAAAATCAAGACTAAAATTGATCCAACAAATTTCTTTAGGAATGAACAAAGTATTCCTCCTCTATTATCTTAAGCTTAACTTGTTCTTGAGAAAATCATTATTTATGGTATATATAATAACTTGTTCTTGAGAAAATCAAGGTACGACAATAAGTTTCTAATGAAAACTTATGGAGCGCGTATAAATAGTTATAGTAAATTCTTTGAATAGATTGTGATTTGTAATAAGTATGGTGAAATTTATTTCTCAAAGTGGTTGTATCAAATTGTAATAAAAATATGAATAAGAACATATTATATTCAAGCTCATCATCCAACACTCCAAAAATGTTTAGCAACATGTAAGCAGCTGAAGGTGGGCCCCGCAAGAATGAGGGCCTTCACTTTAGCAATCAGAAAATTCAGCCAACTTACAAATCATCGAATTGATCTTCGAGATTCGTTTGAAATCCTGTACACACAAATTGTTTAAGTATATTAATTATACTCGATGTTTCAGATTTTATAAAATCGTCGATAGAAGAATTTGAGGTTTTCTTTTATCTAACATAGGTGAAAGTCACGAGAAATGAACATAATGCTTATGCCTAAAAGATCAAATCAAGTTCGGGATCTCTAAAAATTTAACCAACACCTCACCTAGTTCTAAAATCATCCAATGAATACAATGGTATTTTTGGAATTTCGGACCGAGCATTTAAACTCCTAACGTTGATGAAAGTCAATCCAAATACTAAACTAAGAACCTCAAATCCTCAAAAAGCCTTCAAATGTAAAACCGACAACCTTCGTTGACCGATTTTCACATTTTAGGACGGATGGAATTGTCGAAATGGCTTGAAACTCCAAAAGACTCCAAAAACCGTTATTAAGCCTTTCAAACACAAAACTTATATTATTCACAACTCTTAACTCAACCCTCGAAGCCAACTCTTAAAACTCAATCGGAAATGACTCAGGGTCATTATTGAGAGGGGCAAAACAATTATTTTATAAAGATTTTAAAAAATGACCAACGTAACTGGGTCATTACAGTATCAAAAAATTACGAGGTCTCGTGTTCATGTTTCAATGAAAATAAAAAATAGTTCTTATTTCGTCACATATATCTAAGCTTATATATAATAATAGGAGATAGTAGCTAAGTGTCCAAATAAAATAAAAATAATTTAATTAGGTGTGCGTAAGTCAATTCCAACCCCACCACCCAATCCCATGCAACTTGTTGTTATTGAAAGATTAAGAAAGTAATATTCCATATATAAACGATCAATTTGTATAAATTGTTCTATAATTAAGTCGTATACTTGTAACTATACTTAACAGCCTTACTTAGATGTTAACTATACTTAACACCCTTAATTAAGTCGTATACTTGTAACTATAATCAAGTTCTACACATCTCATTTCTCAATAATATCACACGATACGGAATCGTTAAGCGGTATGAATGCATTGAAGAGTCGTTCTATAGCTAGTAAATAAAAGACAATTTATTCATGTATTAATTACTCCATAAGTTATATAACGTTTGGAAGCTAGCTAGTTATTAAGTATTACTCATCCATATATCAAATAAATACGCCTGTTTGATTTGCAATTTAAGCACCCGCTTACCTAATGTATGTAAAAGTTATGAGATAATCACTGTATTATCTTATGCAGAGAAAAATGAAATAACTAATATATACCTGCACCACACATGAGTGTTGCGTTAATTATTATTAACTCATATTATGGTACAAGTCCACAAATTTATAACTTGAATAATGTTCATAAATCAAACAATATATATCGTACATAATCTTTGAAACAAATCGATCCTTGCTACGTACATTTATTTTTCAGTACTATAGTATTATATATAAATTAACTACCATATATTATAACCTAAAGATAATAGAGGAGGAATACTTTGTTGATTCCTAAAGAAATTAGTTGGATCAAACTTAGTCTTGACTTGTACTAATCTATCAAAGTTGTTGTTGAAATATTTCACTCCCCAAACTCTTGCTTGTTCATAGCTTGTGTTTCCATTAATATTGTTCATTCCTAAATCAAGATCTCTATAGTTCAAATATGCAGCTCTAGGAGATTTTGACACATACTTACCCATGTATTCATAAAGTTTTCGAATCCAAGCTATATTTCTTTGAGAATTTTCGATTCTACTCCAATACACTCCATACTCGATCGTGAATATATTTCCAGCTCTATGAGGGAAAGGAATTTCAGATTCTGAGATATCGCTCAATTTTCCTCCGTAAGGACTAAACTGTAATTCAGCCCCCGAGTTTTCAACTGCTAATTGGTTGAGTAGTTTCCACATACCTTCAAGACCATATATAGAAATTGGATGTTGGACATAGTCTGATTTCCCTTTGAAGTATCCTCTTTCATTAGTTGTGGTAATATTCCAATGAAGTAACACATCAAGTGAAGTGCCCCTAGGGGAACCAGCAAAGAAGAGTATCGATTCGATCCAACTCATCTCAATGCAATCTTCCTTCACTAACCCTAGCTCCGGGAACTTATCTTGCATTTCGTGGAGGAGTTCATCTACTCTTCCAACGAACATTGTAGTGAAAAAGGCGTAGATATCCCTTTTACCAAACCCGTATGGGAATTCACTGTTTCTCACGAAGAGCCTGATGAGGAGATTGTCATCAACTTTGTCCGTGATATGTTGCCATTTGTAGACCAGTTGAGTTGCATTTTGTTTCAATGTTCGTCCCACATTGAACACGGTTACCTTTTCTGGAATATCAACTAATTTTATTTTCCATGAGATAATGAGACCAAAACTAGTCCCTCCACCTCCTCTAATAGCCCAAAACAGATCCTCACCCATTGATTCTCGATCCTGAATCTGTCCATTAGCATCAATTAATTTTGCATCAATGATGTTATCAGCAGCAATACCAAATTTTCTTGACATCATGCTATAGCCTCCACCACTAATGTGTCCACCAACACCAACACTAGGGCAAGCCCCAGCAACAAAGGCCAATTTATTGTTACTTTTTTCCGCGATTCTATAGTAAACTTCCCCTAAAGTCGCGCCAGCTTGAACCCAAGCAGTCTTGTTTTTTATATCAATGGAGATTGATCTTAGGTTTCTAAGATCAATCAGGAAAAAGGGGTTGTCAGAAATATATGAAAGTCCCTCATAGTCATGTCCACCGCTTCGAATTCTAATTTGTAGGTCATGTAACTTGGAGCAATATATAGCTACCTGGATTTGAGATTCTTTGGTAGGAGTGAAAATAATTGATGGTTTGAAGTTGGAGGTTATCCTTAAGTTATGATCTAAAAAGGAGTTATAAATGGTTGAATATGATGAGTTTTTAGGAGTGTGAATGACTTGTGATATTGAGGTTGAGTTCATAATTTTGTGAGAAAGACATTCAACAAAGTCACCATGAGTACTTTTGTAAGCCCATGAATATGAAATTAGGCAAATTGAGAGAATGAGAAAAGTTGTTAACTTACTCATAATTGATTATTTGTTGTTGCAGTAGTTGTTATGCTTATTCATACATATAGAAGATGTATACCTAACGTGAAATATTATCAGTTTTTATTTTTATATTTTGTTCCTACTTTGCATTATTGGTATTATTATTCATGTCATTGATAACGATCGATATAAACAAATCAGACAAAATCTCTCTTCAATTTTGAAATCTTACCTATCTTATCTTGTAGAATTGATTATCAATATTGATAAAACACGTAAAGTCACCACTAAAGTTGTTCTAAATTTTTAAAAAGACAAATTAACTTTGCAACCGTCCTATTATTTTCATTAAACAATTTTGAACATATATTATTATATCATTTTTCGCTCACCTGACATAGAGAGTGGCGTATACTCTCTCTTTTGAGAGTGAACAACCTAAAATAACTAATATAATTTTACTTTTACAATTATTTCGTCATAAAATATATGTTCTTACTTTTCTTATTATTTTAACTTTTTTTTCCTTTTTATTTTTTTTTTCTTTCTTCTTCACAAATTCATTATCATGTCCATCTATTGAAACTTCTCACTTTTAATGTCACCATTTTTACCACAACTTCATCTTGCTTTTTTACTACTATTAGTTATACCCTTATTAATTTTAAAATTTTATCTAAATATTTTTCATACATTTTGAATTATTTGATAAACCCATTAGATTTCAAGATGATTAGGAAGTATCATATAGTTTTTTTTTATCCAATTTCGGGAAAATAATTGATTCTTTTATAATTATTATTTCTAATTTTGAACTTATATGAAAATGAGTAGTTGATGATACTTTAAAAAATAAACTTGAAACAAAAATGGTAACATTTAAAGCAGCTCTCTATGCGCCTTACAAGGCGCAAGTCTGTCTGTGCCTTGTAAGGCGCATAGGGAGGACCTGTCTCTTTTCGGTCTTTCACACTATAAGGAAATTGTAAATTACATTTGAATTTTTCTTGGAATTATAAATGAAAATTCGCAAGAAAATATGTTTCCTACGGATTATCTTATTAAATAGAATCCGAAGGTAAAACCTTCGTAGGTAAATACTTCTTGTAAATTTCAAAATCCTCAAATTATTTACCTAGATATTTAAATTCCGCTCGTAAATTACTTGCAAATTTTCTTTAAAAAATATCCCAATATATTTCACATTTATTCCTATCTGCCCACCCATGTTTCATACCACTTGACACAATTTTATTCCCCACACCCATGTGGCCAGTTGTATTTCATGGTGCCCATCCTTCTGTTTCTTCGATGTGTTATAGACTTAATTTATAAATTTCTACACATTTTCCGCGGCACAATCTTTTGGGCTCAGCACGTGTTGACTATTTTTTATCATATTGATATACAAAACATTACAATTTATAATACTTTTATATAGTTTTTTAGTATCCAAAGATTTTGTTTAAAACATCAAATTAATATAATCTAATTTAACTTTGAAAATAATTAGTTAAATTAACTTTCAAAAGACGCAACATGACAATTAAAAGTGAACGGAGAAAATATTAAGCAAACTTGAAATTATTAATCTCACCATTTATATATTAGTAATGAATAAATTATCTCATATATTTAATAAAATAACTCATCCGAAATTAATTAATTTCTGTAATAACTTATTCTTATTTCAAAATTAATAATACCAAGCGACTTGTATTCATATTCATATGGAAGATGGACGGCCTTCCTCGTGGCTAACGTGGATTATTTGTTTTTGTTTTTATTTTATGGTCATAACATGAGCATTATTATTATTATTATTATTATTATTATTTATATCATTGATAAGATAAGACTAATTAGACAAATCTTTTTCCTTTGATATAGTCAAATAGATAGAATTCTCCACATTAGGTATGAAATGAGAAGGTATAATATAATATTGAAGACTTGTAATTGTTAAAGACATTGAGTAAATTACAAAGTCTACTCTCATACATTAAATTTAACATGTCTAATTAATTCTTGTAATTACAGTAATGAGTAAATATTTTATTAAATTTAATTTTGTATCAATAAAGTCATTCAAATTTATATAACATTTGGAAGCTAGTTATTAAGTATTATTCGAATTAATTTGCCGTTTTTGATTTGTAATTTAGACACACGCTTACCTAATATATATTTATAACTTATGAGCAAATCAATGTATAATCTTATGCGAAGAAAAATGAAATAAATAATACTCATATAACTAATATCCGAACCACAAATGAGTGTTGTGTTAATTATTATTAACACATACTCAGGTACAAGTCCAGGAATTTATAACTTGAATAACATTCATAAATCAAACACTGGAATGAATCCTTGCTACATTTATTTTTCAGTACAATATACAAATTAATTACCTCTAATTAATTAAGCTTAAGATAATAGAGGAGGAATACTTTGTTCATTCCTAAAGAAACTTGTTGGATCAAATTTAGTCTTCACTTGTACTAATCTATCAAAGTTGTTCTTGAAGTATTTCTCCCCCAAATTTTTCCTTGTTCATAGCTTGTGTTTCCTTTGTTGTTCATTCCTAAATCGAGATCTCTATAGTTAAAATATGCAGCTCTAGGAGATTTCGACACATACTTAGCCATGTATTCGTAAAGTTGTCGAATCCGAGCTATGTTACTTTGAGAAATTTCAATTTCCCTCCAATACACCGAATACTCGATCATGAATATATTTCCAGCCTTATGAGGGAGAGGAGATGTCACTCCACGATATAAGGTATTTGAAAGTTTCACCTATGAAGGGTGTTATGAGAATTGGTAAGAAGGGGATACTTAGTCCTCGATATATTGGTCCTTACAAAATATCCAAGAGGATCGGTCTCAAGAGTTAGCGCGCAGTAGTTCATCAAGTATTTCACATCTCTATGTTGAAAAAGTGTATGGGCCGATCCTTCACTTATCATACCTACTGAAGATATTTGTATTTAGGATAGTTTATCTTATGAGGAGATTCCTATTCAAATTTTAAATCGCCAAGTTCACAAGTTGAGAACCAAGGAAGTAGCATCAGTCAAATTACTGCGGAGAAATCATTTTGTTGAGGAATACTTGGGAAGCTGAGGAAGATATGAAGCAGAGATACCCATATCTCTTCGAATCCGAAGAAATTCCAAATTAAGGGACTAATAAATTTTCTTGGCGTTTATTTTAAGTTGACATGTTGAATTTTTATATTTTTGGTTGTTGGGTGTTGAGCTAGATGTTAGATTTTAACCCCTTAGCTTATTAAGAATAATCTCATTCGACGACGAATTTCCCAAGCGAGAGATATTGTAACACTACGCTATTCGAAAGAACTAGAAAGAAACCTTTTTATTTTTTTTGGAAATAATCAAATTTGAAGGAGTTTGATCAAGTTAAGCTAAGTATGAGTTTTGGGTCAATTTCAAATGATAACTCCTAGATCATGATGAGTTAATGCTGCCAAATACCGTAAGAAAGATCTTTGAATTATCTTTCCAACACCACCAAGTCTGGTCATTTTCGAGTTCGTACAAGAGATATATGTCCATCTGAATTTGGATTGTCTAGATAAGGAAAGTCAAAATTGAATTTTAGAAGGGTACTTTGGTCTTTTCACTACCCAATTATTTAATTTCGTTTTAGTTAATTGATTTGGGTTTGGTTCAATTTACGCTTCATAAAAAAGAGTAAGGGTTTTGAGAGAAGAGAAAAGGAAGAGGAGAAAAAGTAAGAAATCGTCAAGTTCTTGAAGTTAAAGGTTGTGGATTTCGCCAAGGGTTAATCCCTACTGGTATGTAAGATCGCATAAGTTCGTTTACCCACGCGCCAATCATGATTTATTTCAGCGAATATATGTTCTTGAAAGTATAGAAATTGAGTTCTTGATGATTTTTGTTGAAGTTTAAATTGGGTTCTTGATTGTTGAAGTTGTTAAGGAGTACTTGATTTAAATTCATGAAATTAGATGTCTTTTATGTAGATACTTACATATTTTGGTTATGTATTCAATTCTAGGTATTTGAAAAAGGAACAAATCGAATCTAAAGGGTTTAGAGTTGAAAAATGATCAAGAAAGTTCGTCAAAAACTGGGGAATGGGTGTGGGGCGACGTGCCACTCAGAGCGCTCCACATAGTGGTATGTAGTTTGGACCTAGGGCGCCGCGTTAGCCACTGTACCCCAACCCAAGTTCTGTAGTTTTGTGGCTGGCGCCTCGCCACTAAGAGCGCCAGGGTCCAGGCCCCCTACCATTTACCATTTTTCATTTGAGCTCTCTTGCAACGTACCTAAGTTTCTAATTGGTTTCTATTCTCTAAGGTACGTCTAAACTTTATAAAATCATCCATAAACATGAGATCATGAACCATGAATCCATAATTCAATTCAAAGAAAGTTAAGAGTCATGTCAAGAGAAGTTCTTAGAGTCTTCTAAAAGTCTTTTACAAATGTTTTAACTTTGTTTTAAGACTTAAGTTTTGAGTAAGTAAAAAGTAAAGATTGAAGTTCATTTCTTCAAAAGAGTATATGGGGACTATGTATTTCCAAAGAGTAAAATATTTTCACATTTAAATAAGAAAGGAAACATTGATTTCCAACAGAATCTTAGGCTAGTTTTTTAATAAAAGAGTAAACCCTTTCACAATTAAATAAGAGAGAAAACTTTGATTTCTTAGAGAGTCTTGGGGCTCGTTTTTGATCAATTATCTCAAACAATAAAAAGATGTTATGTTTTTAGACATATGAGATAGTATATTTTTGGAGTAGTATTGGGCACCGATATGGGGGGAGAGTTCAAAGAACTCCCAGCTCCCATAAACCATGTATCCATCATGAGTAGAAAAGGGGCATAATTTTTAGATGATTCCTTAGTGCTTTTTAGCATGGACTAGAGGATCCACTTAGTAGTTAGATTTTATATCCCTGGCAAGGTATAAGACGACTCTGGCAGCATAAGGCAAAAAGATATACCATTACATAGCTCTTAAGTGATGTTTGTCAGTTAGAGAAACTCCCACAAAAGTATTATGTATTCTTATATACACAGACTTAATTGTATTTTTATATACAAACAGAGTTTATATTGTATCTTTGCATACATATTGAGTTACTTTTGTATTTCTAAATGCACCGACTTGTTATCCATGTTCTAAAAGCTTTTCTTTATACTGCATTCCTATTTTTTCTTTATATTGAAGTGAGTTAGTTGAGTTATATAAGTTGAGCGAAGGTATGTTCTGTCAGTTCTTTTCAAGCCTCTGTCTTGTTTTCGAATTTTCTTCACATGTTCGTACATTCAATGTATTGATGTTATTTGGGTTGCATCGTTGTTATGATGCAGATATAAGTAACCAAGATCAGCATCCAGGCATAGTTGATTCTAGTTGAGCTTCAGAGTTGTTGTGAGCCTCCTTGCTTTCGGAGGATCCCTTTTATTGCTTTATTAGGTAGTTCATTAGGATGTCATGGGTCTTAGTGTGACGTCCATCTCAGTTGTTAGAGGCTTCAAAGACAATCAATTATTGTTGGTACTTGAGTCTTTTCCATTTTTCAGTGTATGATGTTGAGACTTGAGTTGTCGTTTTATCTAGTTGGATGTTGATTTTAAGATATTCTAAGTTTATTTCATGAGTTTATCTTTTGAGACACTATTTCCTTGTTATATAAGTCTTCCGCTAAGTAGTAAGTAAGGTCAAGGGTTGCTTAGGGCCAACAATGATTCTCGAGTGTCAATCTCGCCTAAGGTGTAAGCTCAGGGGGTGACACCACTACCAAAAATCCACGAGTGTTGTGTTAGTAATTATTAACTCATACTGATGTACAAGTTCACGAACTATAACATGAAGAACATAATATATAGAAAATTTATTACTTGAAAAGAATTCATAAATCAAACACTATTTATCTTGAACAATCTTTGAATGATACATTTAATTTTTAGGACTATATATATATATATATAAATTCACTACCATATATTATGACCTAAAAAAAGATATAGAGGAGGAATACTTTGTTCATTCCTAAAGAAATTTGTTGGATCAATTTTAGTCTTGATTTTGACCAATCTATCAAAGTTGTTCTTGAAATATTTCACTCCCCAAATTCTTGCTTGTGCATAGCTTGTGTTTCCACTAATATTATTCATCCCTAAATCAAGATCTCTATAATTGAAATATGCAGCTCTTGGAGATTTTGATACATACTTACCCATGTATCGATAAATTTTTCGACTCCAATCTATGTTACTTTGAGAATAGTTAATATTTCCCCAATACACCGCGTACTCAATCATGAATATGTTTCCAGCTCTATGAGGGAAAGGAATTTCAAATTCTGAGATATCGCTCAACTTTCCTCCGTAAGGACTAAATTGTAATTCAGCACCCGAGTTTTCGCCTCCTAATTGGTTGAATAATAGTTTCAATACACCTTCAATACCATTCAAAGAAATTGTTTGTTGGACATAGTCTGATTTCCCTTTGAAGTATCCTTTTTGATTAGTTGTGGTATTCCAATTTAGTAACACATCAAGTGATGTATTCCTAGGGAAACCCGCAAAGAAGAGTGTAGATTCAATCCAACTCATCTCAATGCAATCGTCTTTCACTAACCCTAGCTCCGCGAAGCTCTTTTGAACTTCGTGGAGGAGTTCATCCACTCCTCCAACGTATAGTGCAACGAAAGAGGCGTGGATAGTCCTTTGCCCACCCCCGAATGGAAATTCACTATTTCTCACGAAGATCCTGAGGAGGAGATTGTCATCAACTTTGTCTGCGATATGTTGCCATTTGTAAACAAGTTGAGTAACATTTTGTTCCAATGTTCGTGGCACATTGAACACGGTTACCTTTTCTGGAATATCAACTAATTTTATTTTCCACGAGATAATGAGACCAAAACTAGTCCCTCCACCTCCTCTAATAGCCCAAAAGTGATCCTCACCCATTGATTCTCGATCATGGATACGTCCATTAGCACCAATTAATTTTGCATCAATGATGTTATCAGCAGCAGTACCGTATTTTCTTGACAACATACCATACCCTCCACCACTAAAGTGTCCACCAACACCCACAGTTGGGCAAACCCCAGCAGCAAAGGCTAATTTTTTACTTTTTTCCGCGATTCTATAGTAAACTTCTCCTAGGGTCGCGCCAGCTTGAATCCAAGCTGTCTTTTTTTCGGTGTCAATGGATATTGATCTTAGGTTTCTAAGATCAATTACGACAAAGGGAATCTCGGAAATGTATGAAAGTCCCTCATAGTCATGTCCACCGCCTCGAATTCTAATTTGTAGACCATGTTTCTTGGAGCAATGTATAGCTTCCTGGATTTGAGATTCGTTGGTAGGAGTGAAAATTGTTGATGGTTCGAAGTTGGAGCTTATCCTTAGGTTAAATGAAAATGAGTTTAAAAGGGTGGAATATGATGAGTTTTTAGGAGTGTGTATGACTTGTGATATTAAGGTTGAGTTCATAATTTTGTGAGAAAGACATTCAACAAAGTCATCATGAGTACTTTTGTAGGCCAATGAATATGATGATGAAATTAGGCAAAAGGAGAGAAAGAGAAAGATTGTTAACTTAGTCATAATTGATTATTTGTTGTTGCAAACAACTTTGATTTATAGTTTTAGCTTTGGGGGGGTTGGATTAAATAAGCTTAATTAGTTACAAAGGCTAAGACCATGTGGTATAGAATATATTAAGTATTAGTTTCTTGCACCAAAAAGAAATGACAGCACGCAAGAGTTTACTTTACTTTACATTGCACTATTGAATACGTGCAATGTGTCTTACACGTTTAATGGGTGACAATAGAAAGTAGACTTTCATTTATATAGTTTGGCGTAAGACGTAAAGCATAATAATTTTAAAGACAAAATGCAGAATTATATTATCTTATATTTGATTAGAAATATGAGATTATTTATTCTATCATGTATACAGTAGCGATAAATAGATCATTCCATATATTTGAATATGATGTGTTTTTAGGAGTGTGGATAACTTGTGATATTGTGTTTGAGTTCTTAATTTTGTGAGGAAGGCATTGAATAAAGTCATCATGGATATTGTTAACTTCTTCAAAGTAATAGTCATAATTGATTATGGATGTTGGATAAAATGGAAGGTATGAACTTTTATTTTATCGTATATCATTATATCATATATTACTAAAAGTATGAACAAAAAAAGTTGAAAATTAAATTATTGATTTACCCCTTCTATAAATTAAATTGTTATAAAATATTTAAATATTTGATTGTAAATTTAATTAAATGTCAATGACTTTTAAACTTCCTAAGATTAATTCCTAATTAAATATTTAATTTATTAATATTTATCATCTATAATCTATATGTATATAATAATTATATATTTTTTAAAAAAGTCTTTACCTAAATTGCTATACTTTTCCTCTTCTTATAGCTTTTTCCTTAACCCTCTCATGAATAATATTTTTTTCTTTTTGACTAAATAACGGAAGGATTTTATTTATTTAGTAAAAGTTCGACCATACAAATTTGGAACTAATAGTTATATATAAGTCGTAGCTAGTAAGAATAAGAAATTAAAAGAAGCTTAATTAGTTTAAAGCCCTAAAACCAAGTAATTATATAATTTTCTTCTACTATTAGTTTTAAAAGAAAAATATTTCGTGCAAGAAAGGTATTATATATACATTCCAAAGACTAGTCAACTGTCATGTGTGTCATATAGAAGATGCACATGCTTCCTCATGACTAACATGAATTATTAGCTTTATTTTATACTAATTTTTTGATACGTGTGTTACATTATTCATCGAATTACGTAATATTATGTTATAAAATATTATATTTTGTGAGTGTCCATTATTCTAGTATTTAACTTCCACACCTCAACAATAATTGAAAGAAAAAAGAGAATTATATCTTGTTCTTTGATCTATATGTATGTATAGATCAAACTTTTTGTTTCATGTTATTACATTTTTAAATTTAGGGTTGGAACATGTTATCAACACAAGAAATATTTATTGACTTTTATAATTTGACCTAACAAATTCACTTAATATCGAATTGAGGATGGTACATAACAGTCATATTCAAACAAGAAGCTATAAATTATAATACATGTCGGATAATGTGTTATATGTTACAGTACTTCCTATCAAGAATTTTTCATATCAGGGCTCGATTTCAAAACACCTAGTTCAGAGAGGACCAGACTCATCAACTACTCTACATTTGTTGGTGTTATAACTTTCCATGGTCAATTTCTCATGCTCAGTAACACTACAATTTCTATCTTGTTTTCTACATACTTTGCCTACCTTTTTTGTTACACATTATTTTTACATTTTTAATCTAGTGTTATCAACACAAGTTTATATTCTTTCTCATCAAGAATCAATGGTCATTATTCATTGACTTTTATGATCTTCAGTGTATTTATCAGATTTTTTTTCCATCTAAAATAAATTATTTGGAATTCCTTTTCACAAATTGTTGGAAGGTTTGATAAAAAAGTGTCATGGAAAATGTTATTAATTTGTTATATTTAATATGCTGATTGTTATATCAAATATCAAGGTATGATGATGGTGGATCAATCACCATGGTGTGCTATTAAGAAAAATTCAAATGATAAGATGGTAAAAAATAGAGAGATCATATTCTTCCTTGTAGGGAGAAAAAAGAATAAATCAGCATATACAATATGAATGTAGGACCAAAAATAATCAAGTATATGAACCACCACAAAAAGGTTACTACATTATACATATTCTTAAAAACAGAGAAAAAGAACTCCATCTTCACTCAAAATAGAAACTTGCTCATCTCAAATTGTTGATTTGGTGATCTTGTGTCGATAAAACGCCTTCTTCTTCTTGCTAGAAGTGTTCTTGATTGTCAGCACAACCTTTCCTGCTTCAGTGTTCTTGAACGTGTTGCGAATTGTCGAGCTCACCTTCTTGTCCTTCTGAATGATTATAGTGTAAGAAGTCTCATCCTCTGGCACAAATTCCTCCTTATAGCTCACTTCTCCGCCCACAATCGTAACATCCCAGATAAATGTACTTTCCACCTGACATAATAAAGTTTAACACAAAACATTCAAAATCTCCGCGTAATATCAAAGCTCTCTCAATATATCCAAAGTTAGTTAATACTTACATCTACTGCAGGTATTTCAATAGTTTCAATTGATCCAGCTTTAAGGAGAATCTCCGAAGCTTCACAGTCGGAGGCTGAAAACTCAAAGTCATTCTCCCTCTTGAGTCCACCATATTGAATAGGGATTTCATGGATTGGAATGTACCTAACTCAAGCCAAATAGTTCAACATTTAGACCACATTAGACAGTAAAGTTAAACAGACAAATACTGGATTTATGTTTGAAACTTACTTGAGCAAGGTCTCAGTGACCTTAGCAGGGCGAGCAAATACGAATTTGCTTTTGGTTCTTTGTGTTAGGAAAGGCGACAGCAGAGAGTGCACGGCGTAATACCAAAATGGAACATTGATGAATATCTGAAAAACAAACAGGTGAAATGGTCAGATAATTCAAGTAAGATATAACTCACAAATCACAGCTATGCTAATAAGACTCACATTTTTGGCAACAAATTCAGGATAGTTATCCTGAAGAAGATCAACGGCTTGTTTGGTTGCAACCCTGACTTCTTTCTTAGACGGTCCAGGCGAGTTCTTCAGATCATTTATCTGAAGCAGTGAACTAACACCTCCAGCTTTGAAATCAAGCTGCTGAATGCCCTTCTCCATTAACTGAACTCTCCACCTCAAGAACTGATTCCGTTTCTCCTCTGTCCCGAACGTTTTGTTATAAATCTCTTCATCTTCCAAAACGCCGAAAATGTTGTAACAAATAGGGTGTCCTTGGTTATCAACCCCACTCATGTAAGCAGCTGGTGCAAGATCTGAGCCCAAATCTTCCTCCAAGATGGATTGGATATTAAAATCCTTCCTCCACTGGAGTGTTTTCTTGAGCATTTCGAAAGATTCATTCACTTTGTAATCCCTTGCTCTCAAGAATTTCAATAGAACCACATTGGTTTTCTCATCCCCTTTGCTAGGCAAAATGGGTACACCCCAAATAGAAATCTCTCTATCCACTTCAACAACATCCAAATCACCCTCCTTCTCCTCTATATTCGCATCGGGATTTTCCTCATTCTTTCCCTCTTCCTCTAGAGACTTGTTGGTCTCTTCTTTTTTGAATAGAGTGTTCCCAACAATGGCCTCCTCAACTATAGATTTCAACTCATTCAATGCCTTCTTCTCATTCTCTTTGAGATCAGAGAGGAAGTTGCTCTCTTCTCTATAAGAAGAGCTTTTCTCAATTGTATTAGGCTTGGATTCCTCTTCTTCATCTTCTTTTACCTTCTCATTCACCTCAACCTCCTCCACAACCTTGTTAGCAGCCACTAATTCCTCTTGTGGAACAACTACTTCAGCCACTTGAGTTGCCTCACATTGCACCTCAACAGTCATGTTTTTAGATAAATAACACAATTACACAAGTGTTGGATCTTAGAAATCACCTCCTCCCCTAAACAGCTGAAAATCAAGTAAAACAAAATTTTGAGTCCCTGAATCAGTGCCCTAAATAGCCAAAAGAGAACATGATTTAATTCAAATTAACAATGAAGTTAAACTAGAGCCTTTTTTGAATTGGCTTACTAAAGTGTTTGGTTCAATTCAAAATAAAGCTTACAAGCACTAAATGATAAAAATAAACCAAAAATCAATCCAACAGATCTAAAAATGTGGAAAAAGAAATACTCTCCCCTTAAGAACCCTGAAAAATCAACCTTTTCTGTTCAAGATGATATATAGATAATGGATTTTCAATGACAATGTAGCTGAATCTAGTCAATCTAAAAATCTCTACAAACAACAACGGCATACTCGGTATAATCCTAAAAGATATTGTTTATTGTTTCCCATAAACCTTAATAAACTAAAACCTCTGAAACAACAACACAATCAACTAAAACATCTATAGTATACATAAAATATTCAAAAAAAAAAAAAAAAGGAAGAGTTATTAGAAAATCACCTTTTGGAGTTGAATGAGGTTGCTTTGCTTGTGTGAAATTGTTGTGTTTGAGATTGAGAAATGAAAATGGCATTTTTATAACGGTAATATTTTGTGTGTGGGTCCCAAAACGGTCAAATTTCATGTTTAGTGTGACACCGCACCGCAGGACGCATGGCATGTTAGAGCCGTTGGGGGATTCGTTTTCCAACCCTGTAATACAGCAAATTTTCCTTGTCTTTTTAATCATTTTTTATTTTCAGGTCCCACAATCCTTCATTATTTGATATATGGGAAAACGAACAAATATATATTCAGAATTATAATAAATCGTATGCAGATATTTTTCGTTATATCACTTTTATTGTCTAAAAGTTAGAGCATACATGATATTTATTAAATATTGGATCGACGGATAATATTGTATCATGTGTCTTTATTTAGTCTTCCGCTAGAGTGAAGGGCAATATATGCTATAATTTTTTAATGGCACAGGAATCAATGTCCCAAAAAGTACGACGAACGGTATTTGCATACCATTTACGACGATTCAGGTATATTTATGTTTTTTTTCCCTTATTCGATTCCCTCTAAATACCACTTTGATAGATTTCCTCGTTTTATTTTATTGGACTCATGTTAAATTGACAGAAACATTTAACATGATATTTTAAAATTTTAAATTTGACTACTACTACTACATTATGTAGTTCATTAATACTAAGGTAAATATTAAAAGAAAAAAGTGATATGACACTTTTTGATTTGCAAAAATTAATAAGTAAAAAAGAAAATATTTAAGTAATGAGACGTTGAGTACAATTAAATTAGAGGAGGAATGTATGAAGTTGGAAATTAAATTTGTGTTAAATTATACTTTTTTGCAATGAATACATGAAATATTACTCATGATTAAATGTACTTGAATACAATTTCAAAACTGAAAAGTGAGTTGAAACTTAGAAGGACGCAAACTAGGATAGATAGCAGATAATAATAGTGCGTTTGTTGTCATATTGTTCATTTTATATTATTAGTTATCTTCGATTTCGATCGATTTTTATCACTACAATAGTTGTCTCCTGAGGACAGCCCATGCTATCTATTAATCCCCTATTAGACAGCAATTACATATTGAACTGTTGGTCATCAATCATAGTTTCACAAATTTGAATTGAGTTGGCAATTTGACTAAAGAAAATACATATTTGCCTCAATTTTGTTGTTTGTATCTGTTAATTTGGTTTAAAGGTTAATTAATCTCTCTTTTTCTTTGTCTTTTTCCTTAATTGACATTGATGAACAACATATATTCACGTGGTGCTCTACGGCACCTCCTTTAAACAAACCATAGTCAAAGCTTGATTTTTTTAATTAAAAATTATTTCATTTCTGTTTTTTTCTCACCTATTTAAAATAATTTAAATCTTCTGATTAGTCTTTGAAAAAAGAATGAACTTGTCTTACGATTCTGACAAAGTTTCAACTTTATCAGAACATTATTTAAATTAATCTCAATTTTTTTTTAAAACCATTATAAATGTCCTTAAAAACATAATTGAGGCAACTAGGCAAATTATGCTACAGCTAATGGTCTAATTATTTTTTTTCTTAAAAGTGATAACAGAACAAAAGATAAAGCGACCTTGATAGCCGAATACTTTTAAGTTAAAAGTGATTATTCAATCATTCAACTTATTTCATTTCAAGATATTTTCTTCTATTCAATTCGTAAGTAGTCATAAGAGATCATTATGCGTTACACCTCTAGCTATTAGGAGTTGGAGACATACACTAACATTATTTGAAACAAATAATAGATGAAAATATCAAATATACATTATAACAAATTCAAATCTCCCAAACCTGTGGCCAAGCCAATTGCATTTCATTCCTCCAAGCATCTTTATAATAAGGTACCTTGTATGGTAAATATGCTATGTACAAAGAACCTTCATTCCAAGTAAACAATGAAACATTTCATCAACCAACCTGTCACCTATTTAAGCACACTATTTTGAGAAATCCAAGTCCAAGATTTCTAGAGGAGAATATGAAACTTTTGAAAAGGAAAATCTAGGTGTTGACAAAAATTGCTTCGCGTTTTCATCTTGAGTAATGTTACTTACAGATGCATAAAGTCTCGAGGAGAGGGTCAAGTAATGTTGGAAAGATATCTGTGTATCAAAAAACTTTAGTTGGTTGTTATCTTGAATTTTTTTTAACAAAGGGGGGAAAGAAGTAAAGAGCAAAAAGAATGGAAACTTTGTGGATCTGTAACACATACCTCTTAAGACTAAAAACTTTGTGGATTAGTTCAAATTCTGCATTTCATATGGCACGGCACATTCAATCGCTTCTTTCAGAGCTTCTCTTCCCAGATTAACAAGTACCTACAACAATTTTATAGAAGGCTTTAAATTTAATTTGCAATATGCATGAGCAAATGAATAGCACAGGTCTTGATTTCAGTGGATTGCCAACATCATAATAAAAATTTGACAGCATGTTCCTTAACAATATCTAAACTTAGAAACCAATTCAGGACAAAGAAGCAAACCCCATAAAAATAATAGTAACAAATACAGTAATATAAACTTCAGGGAACTTCTCCAACATTCTAATTACAGTGCCATAAAATTACCTGATGTGCACCAGATTGAATAACGGAAGCATTGATTGAATATCCAAGGTGCACATGAAATCCCTTATAAACTAAACACTGGACTTGGACAAATGCAGGCCATCCACAGAGTGAACAATAAAGGACCACATAGTTTTAGGGGGATGTCAACTGCATTTCCTGCTGCTTTTTTTTTTTTAATTCTTCTTATAAAATGATTAATCTCTATCTATACATTGATATATCTACCAGATGAGTAAGATCTGCAAGCATGTTCTTAGTACATGATCAGCGCCTCTAATATCCTTTCAATTCCTTTTAGTTGTCAAAGTTAACTCTGATGCTCAAATACTCAGAAGGCTGCCAGATAACTTCTTGATTAAAACCAAAAAAAGGCTAACCTGAGTACTAGCCCACTGGTAATGGGAATCGAACCTATATACCTGAGCTATCACCTAAAGAATTAAATCTCTGATCATGCCCTGAGTTGATGACCATGCATGCTATCAATTCTGAGCTTTAGCTTTATGAGAAACCTTTCTTTGGTCACAAATATAGATACAGTAATGGTAGGAGATAAATTAGCCATGGTTTGACCTGGATGGTGGTTGGTTAAGCAGCAAAGGCACATCATGCATCAGTATATTATTGATGTATATTGGTTGGTTCCTAGGAATGATATTCTAATAAACTATTTACTCATGGAAAAACATGTAGATTGACATTAAATGAGTCACAATCCCGTGATCTCTAACAATGTAGTTCTCACGACCCACAGATCATAATTATAAGCTAAACGTTCAAATCTTTCGCATAGTTGATTCTTCTTGACCCTAGTTGAAATTTACTGCAGCACCTCTATAAACAAAGAAGTAAAGAAAGAAAGAAGGAAAACTGCTCACAAGAAATGTATCGTTATAACAGAGAAAGAAATATGACGGCAACATCCTAAAAGGAAAAAGAAAATAAAAAGATTTTCACCTCATTTGCATCTTTATAACTGCTTAACTCATTCTTTTTCGGCCAACATACTTGCCAACACCTGCAAATCAAGCAAAGTCAACCAATTGTAATACTTTCTGACCCGTTGGTGAAGTAATAAGGCTTTGGATTGCATGATGGATTGAACAAATGAGAGTTACAAGTAGAAGCATCTGTGTATTGCAGCCACTGAGATAAATACCAATGAACAGACAGAGAAAATTATATTAGGTCCGAGCATGCTGAAAGGCTGTGATTCTCATGCACAGAAAGAAAAAAGGCATGTCTTCTCACAACTGTCAAAAACACAAAATACACTTAACTAGTGATAAAAAGGTACAACAATCCAGTATATTCATTTAGATGTACATTATTCTGCATTCTTACCCGACGCAAATTTGACTCCACCTCCCAAAAGGTGCAATACCCTTTCTTATTTAGTATTCCACTTGCTACATCAATATATAAGTCTCTCTATATCTCTTGAACTCTCTTAGAGCCAAGATTAAGAGAATACAGAAAAGATAAAAGTTTGGGGTTATGAAAAGTCAATAGAACCCAAATTTTTCAAGGACTTATGTTGCCATTTGACTAATTTGAAGAGCAACTTAGCGGCTACATCAAGCAAGTGGTTTCTTTTTTTTTTTAGTTCTCATCTAAAATTTGTAACCATGAACTTTAATGATGACAATGGTTATTACAAAATAGGCATGCCTTGCGTAATTTAGCTGCATTGACAGAAAGATGCATGCAATTGCAAACCACCAAAAGAAGTTTTTTGGGTTAGTCTTTCTCTAAGTATGACTATGAAAAATGTTTCTAGGCATTGGAGAAATGGAGATAAGTTAGTCCAAAGTAGTGGTGGCAAGTGTGTGTGTGTGTGTGTGGGGAGGGGGGTAAAATTTGGGCGGGTTGAAAATGGTCAACAGAAAATGATAATAATTCAACCCATCCATATTTGATATGGGTAAAAATTGATTGGGTAATAAATGGGTTGGGCAAAATACTAGTTTACCCATATTGCATGAGTAAATAGTACTCTACATAAGAATACAACATGGAGAAAATATTTTTAAAATGTTCTTACAAAAGTAAAAAACAAAATTCCTATAACTTTTCGATATAAAATAAATTTATGTAATAACAAGAGGAAAATATTTTTAATTTCAAAGTAAATGCATATATGCATTTTAAGAACATGCTTAATGCGCTTTAAGCAATGTCAATACTAATACATGATTTGCTTATTTTTACACTATTTTAATATCCAATATAAAATTTTAAAAAAATACAATTATAATTAGCAAAAGAAATATACAATTAAAATGTATATTTTTGGAGGGTCAAAGAACTTCATCTTTTCAATTATAGAGAAAAATAATTAGTTCTGTAGAAGAACATAAAAAGGAAGAGAAGTTCCAATATTTTTAGTGATATCATCAATTTGAGTGAATAAAAGTTAGAAGCTTAACCCATTTGGCTAATCTATATTTTACCCATATTTTATGGGTTGAATAAGGGTATCAACCCATTTTTTACTCATGTAAAAAATCACTCACCCAACCCATTAAAATATGGGCGGGTTACCAAAATATGGGCTCATTTTGCCGGCACTAGTCCAAAGTATATGAAAACTTATTTACAATTGATTTGAAATTGCAAGAATTCTTGCAGTTTCCACTTCTTGAATACAATGTTCAGCAACTTGAAAAGAAGTGCATGGAGAAATCATCCACTTAAGTAGACAACATTTTGGGACATCGAAGAAAGGAACACAAAATAAACATACAAGAGAAGAAGGAAAAAACCTTTCTTTCCCCAGACGGCGGGCAAGCTCTTCAGCCAATGCTTGGCCTGGTAAATCACCATCAGTTGCCAGCACAATCCGGGACGCCTGAAAACATATAAATTAAAAAATAGAAAAGGAATGAGCAATGACATTAGGAACATATCTTTTGCTTAGTGTTCTCAGTTTAATGCATCAAGACGACCAACCTTCTCCAAGCACTCATTGCAGTTCCACAGGTATGAAAATCTGGTATCCTGTCTTCAGGTGCAAGAAGAACTATTAAGCTGGAAATATAATCCTAAATATCAAATAATTTTAAAATAAGTGGTAAACCACAATGGTAACATTATGTCAAAATACTTGTGACACACCTCTTCCAGTGGTAGCAGTTCTTTGGATGCGATGCCCTGTGGTGCACCATTAGGAACACTGACACAGTTAGGAAATCCAGCTTCTTCCACTGAAAGCTTATCTATTTCACCTTCTACCTTTGGTCAGCAATAGAGTATCACATCTAATCAGCAGACAGAAATACATATCTGAGAAAGAAAAAGTTTTGGAACTTACAATGATGATCTCATCTGCTTCTCTTACATCATCCAGTCCATATAGTACCTTATCAGCACCCTTCTCCTGGCAATCGAAAGTAGAAGTTGATTAATAAAGGCACGAGGAAAATAAGGAAAAATACTAACTTCTCTGTTCAGACTATATCAAATTTTCCTTCAGAAAAATCAATGTCAGTGAAAACAGCAGACACTGACTGGAAGCTTGAAAAAACTCTTAAATTGACATCACAAAGAAACTGTTCAGAAACATTTGTCCAGAGGATAGGCTAAAGTTATTCAAAAGAGTCCCAAACCCAAAACCCATAAAGTAGGAACCAATTTTTAAAAATTTTGATAAATATTACCACAATATAATTGTGAAGTGTCATATGTATTAGCATGACAAACAATCCCCTTCTTGTTGTAAGATACTTGATCTTAGGCATATTTATATGCCGAATTTGCCAATAAATGCCTACTTTGGGGTGAATTTAAGAATAATCTTGAGACTATTAGTTTTGTTTTGTTTAACTTGCGATGATTGTGCACTAAAACACATGATTAGGTGATGCAGGAACTTTCAAGGTAAATGGAGTCTATTCGAGGGAAGGAGAAGCAAGGAAGCATTAAAATAAACTAAGGAGGAAACAGCAGTGAGTGGCGCACTGCCTGGTGCGAGGCGCCAAGGCCAGAACCACAGGCGACCTTTTCAGGCGCACTACCTGGTCGCAAAGCGCCAAGGCCAACACTCGACACCTTCCTCAGACGCACTGCCTGGCGCGAGGCGCCAAGGCTAGAACTGCAGAAGCAACTCCAGGCGCACTACTTGGCGCGGCGCGCCACAGCTGGAACGACTGAAGGCACTGTCTGCCGCGGTGCCCCAGCCCGTTTTCGACATGCCCAGCGAAAGTTGACTTGAATAGGACTCCTTGTCGGATTAGATTTAGAAAATACTTTTCCTAACTTCTATAAATAGGACCCTAGGGCTATTTGTTAGGGTTCGACTACTTTTTGGTGTGCAAGAGCAACATCCAAGTTTTCTAACAGGTTTCGATTTTCTATCTCTTCTTTATTTTGGAAATCGCATAAACAATTCTATTTTGCGGTTTTTGAACATTATGAGTGGCTAAACGCCCTTGTTCAGGGGATGTAGCTACGGAATGATTGTGGAGTATTAAAGGTTTTTGAATCAATTCTTCGTTATCGTTTTAAGTTACTTTTTATTCTTGTTTTAGTATTTCTTGATTGGCCATCATAGAGATAAATCTCTTGTCTGCTCTTAAAATCGAGAGAGGCTAAGGTAGATAGACCAAAGAATATAGAAAGTTTGATCTTCCATTAAGTTGAATTGATTTGTATTTAGGAGTGACGCTCGGACGAACACCTAGCTTAGTTATAAAACAAGATGAAAAATAAATGCTCGCCAATTAGGACTGTCTATCTCCGTTCAACGATGTAGTTAGACAGCTAAAGTAGGCGATTAGAGGTCGGAAGACCATAATCATAAAATCAACCATGTAAATCAGTAGCTTGATAACCTAATTAGTTCACTACCTGAGGTACGATACATGAAATCCAATGCATGCTGCAGCCCTGGAATTGTCTCTTACTTGCTTAAAACATCAAATTAAAGTCGTTCACATTAGTTATTTTATTTATTGCATTAGTTGTAGTAGTGATTAACAACATTCACCCTTTTAAAAAGTTACTTTTGTCGAATTGTGGAATTAAGTTAATAAATATAAGTTGATCATAAGTCCCATGGGAACGAAAACTCGTTTCTTAATAAACTATATTACTTGCGCGACTGCATGTGTGTGCTTATTAGGAGCAACAATACTAAACTATTAATTTCAGCCAAGGACACAATATCTTTTTTATTAAAAGGAATTTGAAGCTAAAGAATTTGCTCATCGAGAAACTTTTGCAAGACTAACTTTAGCTTAAGAATTGGAAGCATGCATTGCATATAGTTAAGCAGTAATGGCATATTGTGTTTTCACGTACTTCCCCATTACTCCATGCATGCAGTTAGGGTTGTAACTTAAAGAACAAATTTACCTGCCAAAACCTTTTCTCAAGAGTCCTATACTTGCAGCCGATGAGCATACCATTCCGTCTATAAGTGAAGGCAATGATGATCTGCAAGCACCCAAATATTGGCATGTAATTTATATCTCTACGACTCTACCCATGATGCAGCCATAAAATATTACTTTCCAGTTTCAAAATGAGGTTAATGATAAGATTATCTACCATGATCTCCATGTTTCTTGAGTTTTACTTGCTTTCCAAGTTAGTGAGACTTATGAACCTTGTCATATTTCTTTTGTTCATTTGTTCTTTGACACAATTTTAGCCATTAAACAGCCCTGAGATTTAGAAATTTCTTTTTTCTCTTATATATTTTAAGTCAAAGCTTGATCAATCCGTTGCCTTGCTGGTTCTCATGTCAATGAGTCAATCTCCTCCTACAAATAAATGTGTTTACCTTGAACTCTTAGTTGGAAAGAGAGTGTGCTAAAAGAGAAATAGAAGATTCTCAAAGTTGTAAAGCTAATGACTTCAGAGCACTTTTTCAGAAGTTCATTCTTAACACATAACTGAGATTTGTCCTATTCCTACACATGTTAAGCAACTTAAAGAAAATCTAAAATATGCATTGACATATGAATGCCAAGAACACTTGCATGCGCAGAATCAATTTTACTCCTTATTAATAATCAAAACCATTTGGACGAACAGAATTAAGTTTACTTCTTATTGATAATCAAGTTATCTTACCTGATCAAAAAAAAAATAATAATAATCAACAGCTCTATCAATAATAATGAAATAACATTGTCCATTGATATCAGGAGTGCCCAGAGCATTTGGATGCACTGACTTAATTTTACTTCTTATTAACCATCAAAAACTCTACCAAACCATAATATTGTCTGACCTGATCACCAGCCATTTGCATGACATGATTTCTCTTCAAAGTATTCATTGATATCATCCTCTTAGAAAAATATGCAGCCAGCTGTAATACACCCAAAAGTCATAGGCAATAAACAAAAAAGGGCGACTTGTATAATTTTATTGCTACAGAATCAGTTTTTCTTTGTTAAAATCCCTACAAATTTGATTGCTCTAATTAGGCCTAAATGTAATTACACTCATAATAATGAATTTATCAAATCTAACATAAGAACCATGAATTCCCAATCAACTGCTTGAGAGAATCAAGAATTCACCTTGGAAGCACTACCCGAATATGCATAACCTGGACAGTATAGAAGGAACGAACCTAAATTTTGAGGGGAAGACCAATGCTCTCCATTATGTCAACTTAAATGTTTGCAAAACTTATCTTTGTAGAGTAATATGCAAAATCAAAAACAACAATATAATTGATTCCTCATAGTGTATGTAAGGAGCTTCTTACCTTTTAAAAGACGGTACTTTTGTTAATGAAATTTACTTCATGAAAATAGAAGAAAGGGGCATCTTGCTCTAAGATGGTGTTTGGATTAGCCTTTAAAAGTAGCTTATAAGCTAAAAGCCATAAGTTAAGAATGACCAACTTTTAGCTTTTAGCTTATTATTTGTACTTTTTTGGCCTAAAAGTAAGTGCTTAAAAGCACTTTTTATCTTTCCCAAGCACCACAAAAAAAAAAAAAAAAACAATCTTAAAAGCCAAAATCACTTAAAATAAGTCAATCCAAACACCCTCTAAAACTAGCTTAGAGATTAGGGAATGCATTGTTGAAAATCTGTTGCCCAGTGCTAAATATTAGACTATACAATGCTGGCCATCAGATTTAGTATATGCATGACAAAAGAAAGTTTCCTTACCATATCACCTAATGGTTCTAAGTTCAAGCTTTCCTCTGTAAGTATCCGAGGAAAATTTATTCTGCCACGTTGATGGACCCCATCAGATGCCGCACTATTGTGTGGGATCTGTATTCATAATTAATATCCAATGAGGTGATTTAACTTCTATCTCTCAGAAATTAAAGTAAACAAATTTTAAAACCATAAATTAAACTACCTGGCCTGCCCATCCACAGTCAATATTGAAACACCTCCATAATGCAGAATTCCTTGATGACCACAAAATCAAGTTTGAAGAACTCTAGTTGCTTGTAAAAGAAGATCATCATTGAACATGAGAACTATCATACCTTTTCGAGGACATATGAAATGATAAACTCTTTTCCATTGACCGACCACCTTTACACTGTTTCAAAAGAGACAAATAAATACAAAGATATAGAGAGAAGGAAAAGAAAATGAATGGGGCTCATATCTAGCTTAACAAAACAAAATAAACATATCCAAGTGTCCATGACAAACCCCAACTTATTTTTTTGTCACAAGAGTTAATTAGCAGAAAATTAAGGTTATGTTGTATAATTGGAAAACAAAGAAGCACATCTTAAATGTGTTTACTCGTCTACTCATATATGAACAAACAAACAGTTTAAAGAATTATGTTATAATTGAAGGCTATATATTACTTTACCCTAGTCTCTGTTATAAAGAGCGGAAAATTTACACTTTACACAGCTATATCAACCTTGAAATATGCAACTCATTATTTTTCATCTTGCATTTCCTCATCAAATTAGTACAAATGCATGACCATGAAAAGAGAACAATGACCAAACTCTCATTATTTCCTTTCCTAGTGTGCGCTTGCAGGTACAAATTCCAACTAGTTGATATCAGTATATGTAATTCAAAGATACCAACCACTTGAAACTCATTAAAAGAAAAACTTAAGTAAACCAAAAGAAACACCAAATAAAATGTCACATACCTTGGGACACATTAATCTTGTGTATTCTTCAGGAGTAACAGAATTGCAGCATATACCAAAATTCTCCACTTTCTCCTTCAGTTCAGCATAATCATCCACCTCCTTATTTTCATCTCTCCTCAAACTAGCTAGTAAAAGTTTAAACAAAAAAAGTAACAAAATAGATACTCAAGAATCTATAGATTATCACAAGGTCTAATTCTTTTAAAATTACAAAGCTATTTACATTTGCAAGTGTAAAGAACTCAAAACATGGAATCACTCTCTAGTTTTTTTAAGAAAATTGTAAAATATCTGCATGAAAAATGTCCTCCACCCAAATACCCAAATTTTGTATCAAAATTAATTTTGTTCATGACCGTGGTATCCAGCCAGCTTTCGCGCAACTCGACTAATTTCACTGCGACCTCCCACCAGAAGAAACAGGTTACTTTTTTATTAAAATTTGATTCGCCGTCTTGCCTTTTCCTCTTCATAATTACAATATATATTAGGTAAAGAAAAATTCAGACAAAAAAAAAGGAATTGAAGCGAACCTGCAGGTGTGAAGAGCCTAGTAGGAGTAATAGTAAGAAAACCATGACTGTTAGGCGAAAATCTTGAGATGAAAGTGTAGAGTATAACAGGACGAGCTCTAAAGAGAGTTGACGCCAAGCCATTAAGCATTTCAAGAGTTTTAAGAGAGCTCTCAAAAGCCTCAAACGCCATTGTCGCCTCTTTTAAGTTATCCCAACACACTCTCTCACTCTATTTTTTTTTTCTTTTTTTTCTGAGGTGACCAACCTACCCTTGGCTTTGGTTCTGAACTCGTTTCATAATAGATCATATTGTATTAACTCGTGTTTTATTTATTTTATATTATGTTTGGATAAATTGTTTTGTAACATGAAAGACAAAACAATTTATAACATTATATAAAACAAGACTTTGTGTGAACAATTCATGATGTGCGAGAGATTATTATTATGCAATAATTAACATGAAAATGTTAATACACAAATTATTTATTTTTAAAGGATATTTTTATCAAAATACATCTACTAGCGGAAAGAAACTTGTAACTTGCTATTCAAAAGCCTAAATGTCAATGTCTCGTTATATATTAGTACACAAATTATTTATTTTTAAAAGGTATTTTCATCTAAATACATGACTAGCAGAAAGAAACTTGTGGCTTGTGATTTAGAAGCCTTCGATTTCAATATTAGAGAAACAAATAGAGTCAGAAATTTCTATAAGAGTAATATTATGACAATATTTCATCAAGTTTTTCTTCTTTTTGAATTGTTTTCCATGTTACGTGCGCTATAACAAACATTGTTACATAGAGGTTTGACCATACAAGATCCAAAGGTGCTGCTGGAATATTAGAAAACAAGGTTTTTTCAGCAACCATAATAGGTAGTTAAAAAGTGATCAATAAATCCATCAACATTTCATGTTTCAGCTTGACAAACAGAAGCAGGACCTTGCCAAAATATAAAGCCCAGCTCAGTTGTAACCTAATCTAACTAGCCTGTAACTGTAAATTAGTTTTTACAAATAGATGGAAGCAAATTTGTATGCAAAATAAAAACCATATTTGTTGTACACTAGTGACATAAACTCAAGTTTGATACTTTTATCAGTTGGTAAAAATGTAAGCAAGCAAAGAAGTAGTGAAGGCCGGAATGAGATGTCATATGTAGTATACAATCTGATGACACTACTTGCTAGGTCTCCACTACAAGAACTAGCCATAATGTGTTCTCCCTGTATGGAGATATATCAGTCATTTGCATTTGCAGAGGCAAGATTGCATCTTCAGAGTTTCTCATAAGATTTTACTTTTCTGTGCCAGTAGTAGCATCTCCATCCATGCTATTCTTCTTTTTCTTTCCATCACCATGTCTGGACCTTCTAGGGGCTTCATCCTCGCTCTCGCTTTCATCATTTCTAAAGCTGTTTTCAGTTTGTGGATAATGTACTCCTTCATCTGGTCCAACAACTGAGCCTGCAGTCTCTTGACCCCTACCTTGGTCTGGACCTGAACTGAATCTATCGTTCCTTTCATTAAAAGGAGCTCGCTGATCCTTTTTGACCCGAGGATTTTGAGAGGGCGGTGGTGGGGGTGGTGTAAATGATGGATGCATTCCCATTGGTCGACCACCTCTGGGTGGGCCAGGTGCTCCAGGACCCATTCCACCCATGAAAGGGGGCCTTGCTGGACCCATCATCATCCCAAATCCACCAGCAGCCGGAGGACGGCTGTGAAACATCATATCACCAGGGAATCGAGGGCCAAATGGTCCAAAAGGTCGGCCACCCATTCCATAAGGATCAGGCATAGGAAAACCATCAGGTGTCATTGATCCATAAGAAAATCCATCACTCATAATGCCTGGGGGGAAGCCCCGCATCCCAGGGAAAGGCCTGGCTCCACGAAAAGGAACTAGAGGAGGCCATACGATTCCCCTACCCCTTCCTCTGTCCAAAGCAGCTGGTCCTAAAGCTTGGCCAAAGCCCTCATCCTCCTCATCCTCCTCTTCACTTTCTTCTTCTTCCTCTTCTTCATTGTCTTCAAAAGGTACGATATCTGGGTTCTCATTCCCATTATCAGGGTTTACTCCCTTTGCTCTTTCCTCCTCTCGCTTGGATTCTGCAGCTAGTGAGATTGCCTGAAATGCAATAATATATTGTCCCATTAGAATTCTGTACAGAAAGTTCAACTACATTAGGAAGCAATTCTCTAAGTTCCCATAGCTACTATGTCTAGTGAATGTACACATATACATACACATCGAAAACATTTACATATATATGTACATATAACATACATATATAATGTATACAGTATGTGTGTGTACAACATGTGCTTTCCTCCGTCAGCAGTCCAACTAGATGCTCCATAGATTACCAAAGAGCATAATTAAGGCGAATGGACCAATTGCAGACAAATCTTGGAATTTCAACACAATAAGCAGCAAAGCAGTAGAACGAACTCACTATCAAATCAAACTAGATAAGTACTAGACTATGAGCGGGGGTTTTTTCTCTCTCAAGAAACAAGTACAGAATCTATCATGAAAAAAAAAAGAATAAGCAATTACCTCTCCACGTAAGGATCTATTTCAACTATTGCCTACATTACAAGCCAGAAAAGATTCTTAACTATAGAAATATGTGTCATACAACAATTTACCAATGCAAGTACCAGTTTTATAGTACTAGTTGAGACATCATTTTTGTGAACCCACATTTGGAGGAACAACATTTACAGTGAGAGTAACAGGAAAACCCAGGTTAGACAATTGCATTGAAAATAAGGGGAAGACCAGGTTCATTTTTTTTTCCGAGACCAGGTCCGGTAGTTGTCCAACAGATCCATAAAACAGGTTAGTTAGCTGTACTACATCTCCAGAACTGTGTCCAAGGGATGACTGAATAGCAAGAAATGACTCCTTTTAGCCAAACTCAATATAAAATTTCTTTTATTTTTCTTTTAATTAACAATTAAGTAAGACTTGAAGAAAGCTTTGGACATAAAAATCAACCCTATAACATCAGAACAATCACCAAAAAGATCTACTAATATATCACGTCCACAATCCCAAATGAATTACCATCTATTGAATGAAAACTGGTTTAATAGGAGAAAAACTGAAAAAGAAATACCATAAGTTCACTGTCTGGTTCCACATAGAGCAAAGAAGCCAACTGCTCACCAACAGAGATCTCTAATTCTTGACAATCTCTGCTAATCTGAAACAACAACGGTAGAAGGTGACTGAAGGTAATGATAGCACACAGCAAAGTTTAATATTACCAAACAAAACATGGAAGGAAATTTTGAATTGACAAGTAAAAGTCCATCTCAGGAATCATAAGCAACTTTGATTGCAACAGTGAAAGAGAATGTCCACTTCAAGCTGAAATTATGTGAAACAAACTTAGCACAATTGCTCAACCAGAAACGCAACTAATATTCGAAGAAAGGCTATTTGGTTGGTTCAAGTTCTTCAGAAGGGCAATTATTCGATATTTAGTTTAAATAATGAGAAAGTTTGTGGCCATCAAAAATAGTATTAAAGCTCGTGTGCTATACCCATGGCATTAGAAGAGGTCGTGGGTAAAAGGTAAAGTATCTTACTTGAGATACATTTTCCTTTTTTCTCTTCTCAACAAGAAAAGTACCATTGAGAAGGATAGTATAATAAGGCTCTACATGTCCTCAACCCTAAAAAGAGCTGCATAGATTTGGGGAAAAAAAGCCCACCACATATCTTGTTAAAGACTGGTCAGGTCAATGTAAAAGAGTCTACTTCACTTGAAATGCACTTAGGCAATCCCTAGAGCGTTCTAGCTTTACACCACATAGAGAAGAGATGGATCAATTGAAATATTACAAAAAAAAGATGGCCTTCAAACCTTCTGGCATCCTCTTCACTCAAAGACAGATTGAACAGCATGTAAAACCTCTCTTCCGGAAATATAACATCTTTGTGTAACAAAGCCCCATGTTCAATCGTCAAACACTAGCTGAGGTATAATAAAAGCACAAAAGATCATCACAATCCTAATAATTTCATCCAGACTCACCTTGCAAAAGAGCAAAGCCAACATAAGTGAGAATGCGTCTAATTTCTCTTTTGGCACATAATGCACCAACTGGGAGATATGAATTTGTGAGATGGTTTGGTTGCAATGGACCATTTGGTGCTACGAATTCATGGAGAAAAACAAAACAAGTGGCTTTTTTTTTAAACTAGTAAGTTTGTAGTCTTCAGTATTAAGGATATGTTGGCCACCACCAAAAAGTTAAACTACAGACTCCCTGTCAGGTCTATAATCTATTCAGTACCTTCTATACATAGTTGTTTACACCAAAAAAGTAGAGATACAATACAATTCATTACACTTTATGAATGGAATTGGACCTATCTTCGAAACATCTGGCATTTCTCTCCCTCCATACTGACAATCATACACACAAGGGAATTAATATCCACCATCTCTTTTGGCTATTTTTAACAGAATTTGTGCTTAAAAGAAACGCAAGGGAAAAGGAGACTCCTCGGATAGGCACTAGAATATAATTTGAGCCGCATCACACCTCCATCATTAGGCAGAATGTAATTCTATGTCAATTTAAAAAATCTATCCAAAGATAATAGTTTTCGGTTTATCTCTATAATCATGGTGTTTTATGTTTTCTTTCAACTTCATGCTGACCCACATAATTCAACTGGCAATACACAGATTGATCTTCCAATTATTCTACTAAAAGCACTATGCTAAGACTGGCCACTATTCCCCCTTTTTCCCCCTCAAAACAGTACGAGACTTCAAATTGTGGAGCATCACTTTTGATGAAAAAAATAAAAATTATTTCACCCTGGAAACCCAACCTCTAGGTACTAAGGTCTTCCTCATTGTCAGAAAGACTGTTTGTAAGTCGAAGAAACTCTGGTGGGGTTGGATAGTCTTGCTGAAATGCAAGAAATAAGGATGTCACTTGACAAAAGCAACTTGTGGGGATTCTGACTTGACTAATTAATGGTTCTGTCAGGCCCATCAAGGCTTTAAGCTGAAGTCCACGATGTATCTACTAATGAAGAATTTAGCAAATTATAACAGTATTCTAGCATAACAGAGAACGACAAGCAAATACCTGCCCTGATCAATAAATATGTCCATTATAAATCAATCTATGTCATTGGGATGCTCAGAACAGCCATAGATGGAACTGATCTTTCGAATTTTTTTTATTTTTTTTTATAAAGTGAGTAGATTTATTTAAAGGCATCAAGAAGATGCAAGCT